ATTGAGTGTTTTCCGAACAGCGAACTTTGGCATTTCGTATGATTTGTTTAAGATTTCAATACTGAATTATCGAACGGATTTTTTGAAAATTTTCCAACTATTTTTGCTTTGAACAATTCAATAATATAAGTACCTGAAACCAACCCTTCTTGYCCAAGATCTCTCCAAAAATAGGCTTCATATAACGAGCGATGAACATGCCCAGTGACGCGAAAAGAAGCCAAGCAATGGACATCAGAGCAGCTGAAATACCGCCGAAAAAAATAAAGCATGTAAAACAAATAATTGAACATTATTTTTTGGTACCAGGCCTTTTCACTTTGTGATTAGATCTTTGATATGTGAATGTGGAGAGATGACATTGTCGTATATCTACTACGCAAAGCGTACTCTCTCACTACGTAGTCTAGGATATTTTTACTGATAAAAAAAGTCGGATGTCCTGTCTCTCTGCTGCTTATCAACCAGCAAGGGGACAATCTACCGGCGAGCGAGGAATGAGAGCAACCCTCGGTTTCCCAGAAGATTCCATTCACTTTACCACGAAGAAAAGGAAAAAATAGAGCCAACAACAACAATATGCACATAAAAATAGACCTTGAATTTCCCGGAGTTGTAACCAGTGCAACGAAGAGCCTTTTGAAAGCTAAGTGCAAGATATTCTCGCGTTGTACGTTACGTCATCGCCGCCATGTTGGATGACGATAACAAAGCATTCCTCATTAGTTTCTCTTGTCCATTCATCCAACATGGCGTCGATAGATTTGTTCTTTAATTCTCGAGGGATTCTTGATTATGTGGTTGAAAATCAAGAATACGAAGGTTTATTTGACTCACCATGAGCCCGTATCAGAGCAATGTTCTTTCCAGCGGCTTCTAGATTTTCTGTAGAGCTGACATCTACTTTTCCAACTGTTGAGGATTTGTGTGTATGCMTCTGTATCTGTGATCCACCTGGAAATCAATAGACAACTGGTGAATATCATATGTTAAGAGTGTGTCCGGGGGGTGCATGGGGACTCCWGGGTAAAAGTACTGGGGAGGMTTGTCAGAAATTKTCAAAAACAACTCTAAAAGATCCCGGAAGTCTWGAAAAAAGGGCGTGGCTGACCGATCTTCAACCCCTAAGAGATTGCACAACAAATATTGCTAAATTAWACCAGTTCCAATGATAAAAATGCAGAGGCAAATCAATATCGATGCACTCTTTCTCTTCTTTTTCGACTTGAAGAGATTGCAGAAGATACAAATTTCCAGAAAATCCAAATTGGGACCCTAAACGATTTCAAATCACGAATTTTTACCCTTAAGAGATCCGACGAGCCTCCCCGRTACTTTTACCCCGGAGTCCCCCCGGGATATAGGRCACTTACTAGTCGGTCCGCGTGCAAATATCAGAAAAACTCTCTCCGACAGATCCATCATCCCCGGCTGTTTGAGATTTCGCGAAGTTCTGTAGRAATAAAGAGTTACTCAGGTCATTCAACGCATAGGTGACTGGTTGACAGTTGCTCACTCAAAATGGGAAGGCTCGAATCCTAAGCCATTTTATAACAAAAACACATTTGAGGAATTTACATATGTGTAACACTTACTTGCATTGTAAAACTCCACCATCAAATTTGCCAGYCGAGTCTTTAAGACTAGAGGAGCCCTGAAATGAAATGAAATTCTTTTGAAGCTGATCCACTGGAGTGCGACTTTAGTTTAAATCAAGCCATGCCTTAGCTAGACGCAAACATATCCTACAATGCATTGCGTACATACCTGGTTGTTTTTGATTGGTGGATTGTAGTTTTTGATGTCGTAATGTGCTATCTGGACATTGGATCCTTCGCGAGAACAAATCAGAGCATCTGTACCGTCCTAAGATAAAAATATCGTGATGAGACCCTTGTTTCACTATGACGTCACTTGAGAATATTCTCTTGTTAACGCCAAGAATTTTTGCCAGTTGGAGCAAGAAAACACGAAATAAGAACGACGAAAGACGCGGAACTTAGTAAATACAAAGAAAGAGGAGAATGATAACATTGCACTATGGGTAATCTTGTACAATACAATAGCGTTTGCTCTTTATGAAAAACAAAAGTTTTTTTAAAACTTACCATTTTAGCTTTGCTGTTAAACCCAACGGCCACCCAGTCTGTTTTCGCACTCATTTCAAACGTAATCTTTGTTTTATCAGACTGGTACGTCAAGAGGTAATCACAATCATCGCTTGATTTACAATCCCTTGGTTCGGAATAACATCCTTTGGTTTTACCGCAACCAGTCTTTGTGACCTTAATATAAACACACAAAAATTCAGAGAAGCTCATCCACAGTCTTTACTCCCTCTCGCGCTCTGGCGGCTAAGAATGAGTCGGTATGATGTTAAGCTTGGTTTCCATGTAATCGTTACAATCGGTAGGATCGCCACGATCGCCGAAATTATGTGGCTCAACGATCGTRTCGATCATATAGAAATCGATCGCCGAGATAGAATTTGAGTGATTCCAGCGATCGAGATCGGTAGGATCGGCACGATCGCTGAAGAGTGTTTCCATATGATCGCTACGATCGTGGGGACCTTCTTGGTTGGACTTCAGCAAAGGCCGATTTCTCGTTCTTCATGAATTTCATGTATATACCCTGTACAAATCTTGCCTTAGATACGTCTACACGTACCTGGATATACTTATAGAACAACACTGAATTGCTGCAGCCAAAAAATGTCTATTGAATTTTTCTGTGAGCTCACCTTGCCTGGAGTGGGGGTGGGGACGGTTTTCGGCGGTCTACCATTGACCAAATTGAGATTTTTSCTGATATCGACCGTAGCGTTAGAATAAGAAGCGTTTTCGCGGTGATACTGGTCTTGACCCGTGGAAGCTRAAACAAAAGATCATATGCAGTTGTTTACATTCAGTCGGTGACAATTTGAAATTATAACTAGTGGAGGGAAAGGTTGAGAAGAGGAGAAGGCAAGTAGTTTGATTGGGGGCAGCTACGGTCGAGACTTATCATTCGTGTAACTGTGTTGAAGGCACGGACAACACACAGTATAGCTTCACGTAAACTCGGCAAGTACTGACGCTATGAAAAAAATTGAAATGACAAATGACCAAGGCTACAAAATGTGCGTTCCACAGTTTTTGCACATACATACGATATCTTCTTCAAAATACCGATAGCCGAAGTCTGTCTTTTACTTGTGATTTTTTAACGAGATTACGCTTATTATTGCACTGGTGATTGAGTTGAGAGCAATCCATTCTGGAACTAATTTAACTAAGAACAATGCATGCACTTACAAACATGTCCCCAGGCAAAGATGAAATACCAGTTTTTACTGAGATCAAGCATTTTAGCTTTCTGTGGCGCTTTCTTGCGTGAAAATCTGCGAACAAAATCATTCAGGAATCATTTTACATTCAGTTTGAGAACCAAGTCATTCATGAATATATGTCAATAAATCGAGGCACGACCGCCGTTCATGGCAGTTAGATGCGGTCTTTTGGAAAGAAATTACCTGCATTTGACGACGCCATTGTTATAAGCACTTTGAAGCGGTGTAATGATACTTGATGATCTCTATGACGGACATTATAAAAGTTGCTGCATAAACTTAAGTTACATTTAAAGCTATTAACAAATAATCAGGACTTCTTGAGAAATGTTGGAATGGTATACAGCCAATCAAAAAGGGAACATAAGATACATAAATTACTGAAGCTCCTGGGTCAGGTTGAACCAAGATTGGATAAAGTTATCCATCCGTTTTAAGTTATCCGCTCCTTGCAGGGGCGGATTCAGCTGGTTGGGTGCAGGGGTTGAGATCTGGATCCTTCAATACTTTCCTTATTTTATATCTTCATGGTAATGATTTTTCCCCTGAGGAAAATCCTGGATCCGCCCCTGTCTTGTATTTGGGATTAAGTTTTGTCATATTCGCTGGATTTATCCACTGGATAGCGCTATTACTCTCCCAGCTTCGTAGTACAACCAGCCCTTGATTTCCTTACCAGATCATGGCGCAGTGGCTGATGATAATCCAGAAAGTAGCTTCTAACTACAACTTCACTCGTGGCCAATTTTGAACAGAATATAGCGTCGGTGTTGTTCTAAAGATATAAGAATACTTACGGCAAGATCAATATAACTTAACCAAGGGTACTCTTAAGAAAATCGAGAAATTTCGCGCGCGCAAGGAAAAAAATACGATAATAGTGATTTCTGGAAGAAGACATTTTCCTACCATTTCCTGTTTTGAGTTAAATCCTACAGAACCATAGCCAACCATTGAACTGATCTCAAACGTAACGTTATCACCCGTGTCTTTGTACGTCAAGAGGAAAGTACAATCTWTGCTGTCTTTGCAAGATGGAGGCTCGGAATAGCATCCCTTCGTCACACCACAACCCTGTTTGGTTATCTGTAGAAACAAACAGCAAGTGTGGATGGAACGGCGTCTGTGACGATTGGGACAATCATATGGTAACTAGGCCTTATTTCCCAACCWTGGTGACAATCGTTTAGCACAAGTTGCTTACAACCAAACTCTGGCAAACGTCTAACAATGGCCRGATGGAACGGTTCAATTTGTACGGACGGATACATCGATTCATGAATATGACCTAGGCTTCAGATAATGCTGGGACTATAAAATAACTTTACCTGAAAGTCTGCTTGAAGGGAAATGTTGGCCGCTGGAGGTGCTGCCGGTCCAGTTATAACATTTGATTTTATCTTAGCCCAGTATATGTCAAATTTCTGGACAATAGTTAAGCTGGAGAAAAAAAGGTTAAAAAAGTTCAATAAAGACTGATGGATTCAATAGAAGGTTGTAACCTGGAAAAATGTTCGCTGCGCAGATAGATGGCAGAATGAATCATCCGCCTTAGCCGCTTCTCCTTTAGGAAGGGAGAGAGCCCTCCTCTTGATGGATCGCATTCCGATTTCACTGTTAAAGGAAATGATTGATGGAACGAATTGGAAAGGATAAAAAAGGAAATATATGCGTTTACTTACTAAAAGCGGATATCTCCCGCGCCCTGASCTGGTGCCTGCCATGTCAGATGCACTGATGTGAAGTTAACCTTGGACGGATGCTTGTGACTAACGGTATTCTAGAAAAAATGAAGTCATATATAATGATAATTAAGTGGTGACCCTCGGGACTTTCCGACCAGACCTCTTGATAGAGGTCGGTCRCGAAAGAGGGGTAGAATATACACCCTTTTAATAAGTCCTGAGGTATTGYGTTCTCCGCACTTGACGTCAAATTTATTCTTTTGAATTCCTTTTGTATTGTAAAAAAATCAAAAGGATAAATTTGACGTCAAGTGCGGAGAACACAATACCTCGGGACTTATTAAAAGGGTGTATAGAGGTTCGATATTCGAACTGGGATTCGTCACTGTGGCCGTAAATAATTAGCTTTTATTATATAATAGAGGTACCAATGTGAACTAGCAATAAACCACATACCATAGGCTCCCCCCCAGAACACCATATCTGGGTAGTTTTATCAGGCAAAGGATTCTTAAATGTTCCTATAGGATACGGGGGTTCACTGGTGTTTACTCGTCTTGCTTGGATCATAAACCCATGAAAAAGAGCGCCTGCGATCGTGATGTTCAGCTGTGAATTGATGGTATACGAATTGGGAGAGACGCTGAGTGTGTAGGGACTGGTGTTATGTGGCTTTGGGCCGTGATTGTCATGATGTGGTTTCATTTCTTCACAAACAGTCGTTGGTGCGTGAGTCGAGAAAGCAAGGCATGACGGGATGAGGACAACGAGAACCACAACTATGACCTGCAAAACACAAAAAATATCAGAAATCAGATTCCCAAGCATTTAAAGGGAAATGGTCCATTGCATGGTCCATTGCATGCTAGTGGACCATGTCCCTTAATAGAGGGTCTCAATGGGGTAGTACGCATCACGACTCACGGCTAAAAATTTGGCTATTTCACGACACACGACTAATTTTTTCGAATCACGGTTAACTAGATTAGTTTGAGAAATTTTGAAATGAAAACAACGTTTTTCATTACTTTTTCATGTAATTTGTTTTGTGCTAGAGATGGTAAGCGTTGGAGCAGTGTCACCTTGTTGGTAGGTGTGATTCATTGAATTTTGAGGGGGTGGTGGTAGTGGAAAATATTGGAAAAAAATTCTTGCGAGGCAAAATTTAAAAAAAATCTCCACTAGAGCTTTTATTTTGTAACTTTACAAAAAAATTACAATCGCACGCCTGGAGTTGACTGTCCTTCAGAAGAATAAAACTGAATCACGGCTCACGCGCTATAAAAAATATTCACGCCTCACGGCTAATTTTTTCTCCATTTCACGACTCACGACTAATTTTTCAGCCGTTTCACGGCTCACGGTTAACCCCATTGAGACCCTCTTAATAGTCTTAAAATGAGCATTTTATATTAATACTATTTATGAGTTAGTTATATAAGCATGAGTTTTTTCTTCAATTTCTATTTTTTCAGTGATATAATCTTAAGTAGAACGCTCATCAATTTCAACGCCAACTTTGTTGAGCTTTCTTCAAACTTATTCACAAAAGATATTTTATAATTAATGTCAATCCTTTTGCACTGACAAGTAACGCACGCAAAGAAAAAAAGAGGAAGAGCTACTTGTAAACCTACTTCTGTCACAAGCATCCGCCATTTTGAATGATAGAGAAGACCTTGGGAGCGAGGTTAAGGATATTAAGCAAACCGTTTTTTTCATGAATTCCCTTAAAATCGAAAACACGACAGATGAATTTTCTGTCTAAAAGTGAAGACACCTCTACAACGAAGACTGTTTTCCTAACCTGAATAATATTCGTTTCACATATGCAAACAAACAAGACGAAAGCCTCTTAAAATACGAATTAAATTACAATATATATTAAATTAAGCCTTTTCAAAACAAAAAAAACTTAGAGTCATTCCGGTTGTTAATAATATTGCTGTTATAACAAGATAATTAATCAATAAAAAACGAGTGTCATTCGCAGTTGGACTCAAAACTCACACTTCAAACCTTGATCTTATATAAGATAGGCGAAGAGACCGAAGAAAAACACGAATTGCATTCGAGCAGATGTTCAAATAAAACCTCTCGCTGCCAACTATTATTAGTTTATACAGTATACATCCAAACATTTGTCAGTTGATTCAATTTTAACAAGAAAACGATGTCAAAAAATCTTTCAGACGGCAATTTTTTTTCTTATAGCTTGCGATTAAGYCGAAGTTATGCTTCTTTTGTTGAACGTTTGAGCTGTCGCCTTATGCTTACACGAGGAAAACCGAAAAAAAATCTACTTATGCATTGTGAATAACTATGACTTGTGCAACTGAAGACAAGTCAAAAATTGACCACAGCTTTCGGCCTAAAAATAATAATAATTTGCTTAAAAGAAAATACAATAACAATTCAAGATTCTAAAATAACTTAGCTACAAGCTTAATCTAAACCCATACTACTGTTTTTTTTAAACGCGCAAAATAAAAATTCAATTTATCTAAACAGATTGAGCCACTTTACCTTCACCGACGCGACCATATTTAAAGCGAACAACACAAATAATGTTCTTGGGGGAAAGTTCTCAGAGAGCATTGACTTTTCAAAAGTGCATCCACTTTTCAATAGATACTTATGTAATATCTTTGAAGCTTTGGACTTCAAAAACCAGATGCATGCAATTATTTTGCAAATGAACAAGTACACCTACATGTGGCAATATATATGCGTTTTAAGCTACAAATGCCGAAAAAGGAGTTTGTGGTCAAAGTAATTGAAGGACTTGATCGAGGTCTGTTAGCCGCAGGTGTACTTTTGATGGCCCTAATAGATTCCCGTCGCCAAAGAAACCCCAAGATTAGCTTCGGCTATTCGACAACAGTTTGACTTAAAGATGGCTTTTTATCAAAAAATATATAATTATTCGATCAATTATGGAAAAAGAAATGATTAATAAAACTAAAAGTTGGTTTAATTTTCTAAACAATGGAAACTTAAGCAAGTTCACTGTCTCTAAGTGCCAAAACCGTCTTGATTGGCAGATAAGCTGTGTTTGCATGACTATAAACCTTTTTTTACATTGCTAATATTTATAATAAGCACTGCTGAACAGAGAAAGGTCTTCAACACATGTAATGAAATTCAAGGTTTGAAATTACGTCGAAAGACCAGTAAAAGGCCGTAAAAGTATTCATCATATAATTATCTAGTAAGTATAAAATACCTATATATTTCTCCATTACGTAAAGTTGATATTTTCACTATATATTCACATTATTCACATAATTTGCTTTCATATGTAATTATATGATAAACAGCTAGTGAATATTACATGGTCGCTTGGAGTTACGAATTTTATCTTCTCGTGTGTTGAAAATCTCTCACTCGTTCTCTACGCTCACTCGTGAGAGATCTTTTCAGCACTCGAAGATAAAATCCGTATCTTCGCTCACCCATGTAATATCCTCTATTTATGTTTTGTTAATTAGTTTTAATGATATTTGCATTAAGAGAATCGACTGATACAGAATATATGTGTCCAATATCCTTTGTTCACTGATGCGATGACCACTGAACAGAATCAGTATCAATATACACAGCATGAGATTTGAATTTAGACAATTGAGTTCATTKTGAGTTGAATGCAATAGTCTGGATAGATTTGAGTTCTCCCAATAACCACAGAATAATTAAGTTGAAGGGTAGAGTCGCCCCATGAAAAATCGAAATCTGGAATCCGACATAGTTTTGGCTCTACAACCCATAATCCCTCGATTAAGGCCAATTTTGATCCTTGATCCCGACAGCGATCCCAAGCTGTAATCCTATAAAATACTTTGAGAAAGTTTCTCAAATGCTAGCGTCTGCGACTAGAGTCATTTTCATCCGTCTGTGAAATAGGAATTGTATTATTAAATACTATTACCCCCTATTAGCTCCCAATGTTTAACTTATGACATGAGTGCGACAAATAAATTAGGCAAACACGGTTTTTTGATTTTACCTTTTGGTAGCCGACTACACCCTAATAGTTACTATTAAACACTGACTAGTAGTAATTGTTTCACAGACGGATGAAAATGACTCTAAGTCAGCTTTTGACTAAGACACTTTGCTTGCTGCAACTAGCCATAAATTCACTTTTTATGTTCATAAATGATTTACTCTCAGGTAGCTAAATAGTTACTCAGCTACATAATAGCATTCCTTCGAATCCTTATGCAAACTTTCGATAGCAACTGATTCCAACGATCAACAACTATTTTTGAAAAATTGTAGGAAAAATCTACGTAGTTTGTTTATAAATCATTTATAATCAATTAAAGGTTTTATAATGGCGAATATGTATGTCAACGGGATGTGAGGTTGATATTGATGGTGCAAGTCAAAAAACGACTCTAGCTWCTTAGGTGTGCTATATCTATCTCGCGTACTTTATATTTTTGGCTTATTCCACATACTATATGTATACATAGATAGAAAATATAGATTGGGCGGGTTTTTTTCCTTCAATCAAGAGTTTGTATCTAAATAAAGTCTTACTAGTTGGTAAATACTGGGTTTAAAATACTAAATTACCTGCATAATTATCATCGCCTTCTGATACCTGATATTAGTCAGCAGAAAATGAACACAGGTAACCCGCAACTCAAGATGCAGCAATGTTTATGAAGCACAGTGTTTTTTTGTGACCCCGAGGGAAAAACAATAGAAGGAGCCAGGACTCAGCGGGACCACTTACATAACAACTGAACTGTTCATTTTAAAAATCCATTATTATCACACTCTACCCACATTAATTTGGCAATATCACGCGAAAAATTAGTCACGGAAAGCAATAGAGAGGCATTTTTCTAGACGTTTTTTTGTTTGTGTAACAAAGTTTTTATGTTTGTAGGGCGTGTAGACACAACTGAGATTCTGGTCGAGGTTGATGTCTCATAGATTTAGCTTTTAACAGTATGTTACAGAAATCAAACAGCTCAAATGTAGCAGGAAGATGATTGAGTTTTCAATACTCGTACGTTAGTGCACGGTCTTGGTAGCCGGCCTGAGCTCGAGAAGTGTCAAGTTATGTAATTAATGATCCTTAATGTCACGTATTGTATTGGAATGATGGAAAGTAAAACATACCTTCATGATAGAAAGAATAAAATAAAAACCACCTGGAAGAATGTGTGAAAGACAGTACAAAAGATTTGTCGTAAATGCGTACTCTGGAACTTTGGAGATTCTTGATTGCGGAGAGCATCAATTTATCCTTCACTGATTAGAGCACTGTGCATATTAATTTATGAATGGTCACGCAACGTTGGTGAAAACTGGCGCTCGATCGGGGTTAATCTCTGTTGTTAATGAGTTACCTAATTGAACAAACAATGCCATACAATAATTAAAAACTTCAATTGAAGTTGAAAATATAACGCAAAACAGCCAAAATTCAAACGCAACTTTARAAAGGCATCAATTTCATTGGAAAGATATCAATGACGTCGTGGATCATTATATAGTAAATAGTCTAGAGTTATTTTTTTGTAGACACTTGAAAAGTCAAGATTTTTCACTAACTGGTAGGCACTACGTCGAAGGATGGATCGGGGGGGATGAAGCATTAACTGAAACATTTTTTGTGATAGGAAATTTGCATTATAGTTTGTATATCTCACACAACCAAAGGATCTTTAAGCACTTTTTCGTTATTTCTCTATAATTTATTTGACATTAACTTATTTCTTTATTAATATATTCAATACATGTCATGACGTACTTGTCACGAACAATTAAGACGGTCACACCTTCGGTAGCGTGACACTTATGAGTTTTCGTTGCGTTTTGCATAGTACTCTCAGGCAATAAAAACGATATGAAAACCTAACTATATCCATGATCCCTTTGTGCGAAGGGCAGATTTCGTATGGGATTCTATAAG